TTAAAAAAACATTATTGACTAGTTTTGTGCCACCAAGAAACAGTATTGTCGTCTCTTTTGTGTAATTGTAAAAGGGGTTTCATGTCCCAAAGATAAACAGAGTTTTAGAAATTTGCTTATTTTTAAATTCAGGATCTCTCTTAGATACTAAGTAATCTAAGTTCTGAACCATATTTTGCCTCCTTTTTCTACCCTTGACCCAGAGAGTCCTCAAAGCTCACCAGGGATTTATGAAAGTCAATCCCCTAAGGAAATTCTATACTTTAAAATACTCATCCTTCACTGCCTGAACAAGATTTTCACTCTGTGAACAAGATTTCACTCCTTTTGTATTTCCACAAAGTTTCCTGGTAAGTATTTGGGTTTGGTATTCTGCATGGAATGATGGGAAATGGAGAACTGGTTTCAAAGAAAATACATGTCCCATGTGATTCAATATGATGCCAGGAAAATGAAAAAAAAAAAAAAAAGCAACATAATACTAAAGAAGGTGAGTGTTCAAACTCCAGAAAGATTTGGACTGATGGAAACAGAGATTTTTCAGCACCCTTCTGGATCAGTTAATAAAACAGTACATGACAAGTTTAAAGAGAAGTTGACTGATAGGGGCTGTCTAGACAATGTTATCAGTGCTAGTAAGTGAATGGAAAGCTGACATGCTGAGAGGCAAAGAAATTACAATTGCTCAGGCTGGAAGAGTTCCAGAGAATTACAGACTGATACCAAGAATCTGAGGTATTGTATGGAAAGTACATTTTTAAATTTATAACTGGGAGCTCAATACATTTTTTTGTTTCTCTCTAAATATTTGAAGTAGATTATGTCTTCTTTGCACAATCACCCTGCAATTTGTTCCAACCATCAGCTTTATTTTACTGTTAGGAAATGGAAGGGCTTAGAGGTTTTTTAACTGGTGCAAGAGCCTGCAAAGCTAAGCAATGATATATGGAGGCTTTGAAGTCTCTTGACTGACTTTAGGCTCTGCCATAATCCATATTCCATGCTTACCATTAGAAGGCAAATTTAGAATTTTATGAGAAATTAAGACGGAGGCAGTTTGGGACTCAATATAAAAATAGCTATAACTTTCATTTGGAGCTGTCCTGCAATGCAGCAAACCATCTATCTTAGAGGGTTTGAAGCAGAGACCAACAGGTGAATGCCAGAAAAATATAGAGGGATGGGTGTCCTTATATTGCAAGAGGGTTGCGTTATACCTGTACAGGAGTGTGGTTTAAATCCCTTAAACGTTTTGGAAGCAGGGAATTAGCCTGTGTAGTAAGAAGCAGGTTAGTTATTGCAGGTGGTTCAGGTTTATTCATGCACAGAAGAGCCAAATTTCCAGAATATTTACCTTAGCCCAGGATCATCAATGTCCTAAGAGAGATTTCCTCTCTCTTTTAAGCATACTCATATTAGCGCCAACAAAGTTGTTGCTCAGGTTTCCTCATTCTAAATTTATCCTATGTGGAGTTAGTGAGCCCCACAGATTCTGCCTCCTTGTTATTCCTTCACTATCATCACGTATTTGTTGTATCCCATCTGGGCAATTCCAAGTAGCTTTCAAGCAAGATCATTTTTCCTTTAGCTTTCACATCCATCAACTCATTTGCTAAGCTATCCCCTCTAATTTTCAATATTTGGTTTAAATAAGAGCTTTACATTTATTCTTTCTTTTTCATTAGTCTCAACTTCCATCATTTCTCCTTATTAATTTATATGGTAAAATATTTATTGATTTCACTAATCCAAAAGTATATCCCTGCTTTGATGATTTTATATAAATTACTCTCTCTTATTGAAATGCCCTTTTCATATTCTTTATTGAGCTGACATTCTGAAGAATAATTTCCCTGGAAATTCAGTTTTATTCTTCTCAGTTGGATTACAGGTAATTAAGTTTACTAGCCTTATTCAATCAAGGGTTTCCTCTCCTTCTCCTTCCCTAATGAAAGATCGTGAAAAATGGCTTGTAATAAAAGATGCTATCTCCTTCCCGTCCCGAAATCTTCAAGGTATATTTGACAATGACCGAACGCAGTTTTAATTGTTACTACTGTCATCTAATGGATAGCCTAAACCTTTTACAATACAGTGGATAGCTCCGACAAGGATGAGTTTATTTGTCCTAAATTGTTGATAGTGTTGAAATTTAGGGGGAAAAAAAAAAAAGCACTAAAAGAGTATCTGTGAGGCCTCATGCAAGCTGAAAAAGAAAACACTACTTTCTTATTGGAATTGAAAAAGTAGATATTTTTCCCTAAAATAAATTAAGTTCATTACTTTTGTTGGTGTCAGAGAAAATGTGTACTCGCCAGAGAGAAAGAGTGAAAGAGAAGGATAGAGAGGAAGAATGTACGTCCCTGCAAAGGAACTTGGTCACACTGCAATTATTTTTTCTCCATTCATTATGATTTGGGGTATGCATACAGAAGCATCTGGAGTGTTTTGAAATCATGGTTTTTATTTGTTTGAGAGATTTTTTGTTTGTTTTTGTTTTTTTGAGAGGTTTTTGCTATAGGGCGCGTGCGCTCACCAGACAGACAGAGAGACAGAAAGCAAGAAATCACCCCCTGGGGGATGGCCACACCACAATCCCTTTTCCTCCATTCTCCTCTCAGGATCTTGGGCACGCACGCACACACGCCCAGCATGAGTTTTAAGCCACTGGGTCCAGGACTTGAACTGAGGTCAACTGTGTGGGAGTCCAGCAACATAGATAGCCATTACCCCAAGTGCTGGTCCCTGTTTGAGAGGTTTTTGCCGCAGGGCATGTGCGCTTGCCAGAAGGACAGAGAGAGACAGAGAGACAGTGGGAAATCATCCCAGAGGGTGGGGATGGGGGGAGGGAATAGCCACACTGCAATCCCTTCTCCTCCATTCCCCTCTCAGGAATGGGCGCACACTCACACGCACCCGGCGTGAGTTTAAGCCACCGGGTCTGGAACTCAAACCATGGTGAACTACATGGGAGTCCAGTGACATAGCCATTACGCTAACTGCTGTTTCTGAAATCATGATTTTTATTTTGAATTTGTTTTTGAAATTCAAACACCCATTACAATGTATATATAGAACAAATAAATTTATCTTTTTAATTGTGTCAAACAATATTTGGAATACAATTGATACTTAATGCTTGTAGAACATAATCATTATCAAAAACTTGTAATTTGTGTGTTGTAATATTATCTTCTGATGTGTGAATATTGCTTTACAATTTTATGTATTTGCAGAAAGGAAGAGTTTCTGATGTGAAGACTCAGAACAGAAAGTCTTACTTGGATAGAGGTTTTTTTTTCTTTTCTTTCCTTAATATTTATCTCATTGTTCTTTATTTTTTGCTCAGAGATAAATATATTTAATTATTTAATTATTTTTATTTTCCTTTCTTTTATTTTATTATTTTTTTACCTTTAATCACTATACATTTTTATAGCATACAAAATGCATTTTTCAGTATGAATTTTAGTCTTTAGTCAAAGATATTACTATACAAATTCTCATCAACACATAATTTTCCATTTTTGCATCTGCTAATTATTTGCTTCTTCCCCCCACCAACCCCCCGATCTCTCACTTGGACAGATTTCAAGAAAATTAAGTAATCCATCTTCTTGCAATTGACCTGATATGGGTCATAGGTGCCCTTTCATGGTCCAGAGAGTCTACTTATCAGAGGGAAACAAACCAAACTAACTTGCAAAATGATGGTGAAGGCATGATTGGGCAGTCTTTCTGTCAATCCTGTTGCCTTAGGCTTTCATCACTAGCTATTTTATACGGCATTTAATTTGTTTCAGAAGATCGTTTTAAAATTATTATAAGAAAATGAATGTAATTTTAAATTATTGAATATTTTGCATTATCTGTGGCAGAAATATTTTATTAAATACGGTTTTAAGAAATCAGCATGCATGAAAACCCCCTTGAACTTTGGAAGGTAAAAAGGTAAAGCCACTCTATATTTAAGCATGCCACTTGGTAACAGATCTACTAGACTTTAGAAGAATATAGTGTCTTGTGCTTGGTGAAAAGTGGAGGACAAAAACAAGAATACGGTAAAAAATATATAAAAGTCCTATAAAAAACCATGTGCAACCAGTTTTCTCCTACATAATACATCATTGCATTTTGAGTGCACATGAAATTTAATTAATTTGGTATTAATTCAGATAATAAAGCATACGTAATTGTTCAGGTTTAGCAAGCTAATTATAGTTCTTTTGGAAAGAGCAAAAAGCAGACAGCTTAAGTTGACATAAATGATATTCAGTACTAGCCATGTGCACTTAGCAGGGCATGGAAGGAGAGAAGAGCCATGATATAAAATGCTGAGAAAAAGACCATGAATTCAAAAATAATACATTTACTTTTGTAGGGAATAAATATGAAAAAATGCAAAATATATGGCTTAGTTTGGGGAAGACACTAAACATTTTAAAAATTAGACTGACAGCACTCTGTGAGAGGGTTAAAAAAAAAAGCCTGTGAGCTGCAAATTGAGCACTATGCCAATCAAACTTGTCTTCTGGTTTTAAACTGAGTGGTCTTAAGGTCCTGTGGTCAGAACTGTGGTCCCTTTGTGTCTAGCATATATAGAGTCTAGTTCTTGAAATATCCTTCCTCCAAATTCAATTGTTTGTTCCAATTTCACTTATCGGGTCACTAAAAAGCACATGTAATGAATAGCAAGCAAAAGATAACAAGTCTCTGTTCCTATAATCATGGGCCAGAAATAACCCATCTAGTACCTTTATTTTGTTCAGTGAAAATGACTGAGATATAGATATACATGGAGCCTGATGGTTGCCTGCCAATGATGTTGGGAAAGGAAAATTAGAGAGTAGCTGGGGGGAAAAAGATAACATGATATACTCCTAATCTAAATAAAGTATATTAACTAAAATAAGTTTTTTTCTTAATTTTAATTTGTCAAGTTTTGACAGGTAATGGAAGATGAAACAACATGACCACTTGATTCTACTGAATAAATCATCATGCTCATGCTCAATGGATCAGTCTTCATGCCTTCTGTATTAAAGCTAGTTGGGATTCCTGGCCTCGAGTCAGTGCAGTGTTGGATTGGAATTCCATTTTGTGTTATGTACATCATTGCTGTGATTGGGAACTCCCTAATTTTAGTTATAATCAAATTTGAAAAAGGCCTCCATATACCCATGTATATTTTCTTGGCCATGTTGGCAGCCACAGACATTGCACTTAGCACCTGTATTCTTCCCAAAATGCTAGGCATCTTCTGGTTTCATTCACCAGAGATTTCTTTTGATGGTTGCCTCTTACAAATGTGGCTTATCCACTCACTCCAGGCAACTGAATCAGGTATCCTTCTGGCCATGGCCTTGGATCGTTATGTGGCCATCTGTAACCCATTGAGACATGCCACCATCTTGTCCCAACAACTTTTGACTCATATTGGAGTTGCAGTGACACTCAGGGCTGCCATCCTTGTATCACCATCTATACTTCTTATCAAATGTCATCTTAAACTCTACCGCACTACTGTTGTCTCCCACTCTTATTGTGAGCACATGGCCATTGTGAAACTGGCTACTGAAGATATTCGAATCAACAAGATATATGGTTTATTTGTTGCCTTTACCATCCTGGGGTTTGACATAGTCTTTATCACCTTGTCCTATTTTCAAATCTTTACCACTGTCTTTCAATTACCCCAGAAGGAGGCACGATGGAAGGCCTTCAACACATGCATTGCCCACATTTGTGTCTTCCTCCAGTTCTATCTCCTTGCTTTCTTCTCTTTCTTCACACACAGGTTTGGTTCTCACATACCACCATATGTTCATATCCTCTTGTCAAACCTTTACCTGTTAGTCCCACCTTTTCTCAACCCTATTGTTTATGGAGTGAAGACCAAACAAATCCGTGAACATGTCTTGAAAATGCTTTTCGCCAAAAGAAGTCTTGGTCATTAGCCACTCCTTTTATAGAAATTTTAGCTCAGCTCTAAGTGACAAACTGAATGTGGTAAAAAGTTTTATCTTTTGCAAATACGTGCATTTGGCTCAGATCTAAGTAACAACTTGAATGTGGTAAAAATATTTCCTTTGCAAATATATGCATCTGGGAAAAATACTCTTAAATTTAAATGCCCATAGTTAAAAGAGATATTCCAGATGTTTTCAAATACTTAATGACATTGGTTGGATATCCATAGGAAGATAAACTCTTTGAAATTTTAAATTATTTAAGTTACTGTTCTGGTTCTGGTCTGTTTGTTTAATAGTAAAAGTTTATCTCCAGCACTCTTTCATGTACATAAAAAATGAAGTTTTGGAAAACAACATTTGATTCAAGCTAACTGTAAAAAAGCATGTCACATATATGTGTTCCCAAGTTGCTAACCCAACCCATATCTATAATTCTGGCTATGCCCCACTTTCTAGTACTTGTTTTTGTATCTATATTTTGACAAATTTGGAATCATGTGTCTGGTTTATCTACTTCTTCTGAAATACCTATCAATATAAAATAATATTGAATTAGTAATAACAATATAAGCAACAAAAAAATTATACTGTGCAAACAAAGATTATAAACACTAAAAATTTGCACAGCATAGAAGAAAGTGCAAAAACTAATAAAACCAATTAGGCATTTTCACAAATGTATTATTTTTGGAAAACAGAGAGTCATCACTTTTGTAGAAAACATCCTTCCAGAGAACCATATACATCAGTAATTTTTATTAAACTTAGCTTTTATTTAAATTTATAGGTTAGAATTACAGAACTAAACAAGGAGAAAAATTCTACTGCATTTAGAAACTATCACTTCAAGATTCCTAAATAGAGAAATTGTGTCTTATTTATCCTTTATCAGCAATACATAAAACAGTGCCTGAGACTTTCATAATCTTAATAAAAGTGATATTGAATGATGAATGAGTAAAATAATTTCCTAAAGATAATCAATGATGTTTACAAGCAACAAATCCAGAAGCTTCTGGTAAAATGCAACCTCATCATAAAGAAAATCTGCAGTGTAAGAAGTTTATTCCAGTACCATGGAGGTTGAAGAAAAATGAAGACTTCAAAGAATCATGCACCCTGAAATAAAATCTGAGCCACACACACCATTGGCACATGAGAGACTGCCTCCTAAAACAAGAATTTTAGATTATTTCATCATACTTTGCACTCCTTTGAATTTACATTTTTATATAAAGAATGTGGCATCAATAGAGATTACATTTAAATGTTTTTCAACCACCTTCAAGATTGTGAATTAGTATGATGAGTTAAAATGTAAATAGCTAACAGGCTTCATGGCCTGTGAATTTAGACAGCTGGATTTCACATGTCTCACTGCATGGTGTGAGTTTCTGACCTGATGGCTTTAGAAACACACCAGACATGTAAGATGAATGCCCCAAATCAAGAAAAGATGGAGATAGAGGAAAAGGGATTTCAGTGTGATCATTCCTCAAGAGGGTGCTTTCTCTCCCCTCTCCCTCTTTTTCTCTCTCTGATTCTCTGTTTCTCCTTGGTGAGCACTTGCACCCTCTAGCAAAAAATAAATAAACAAATTAAGTAAGAGGAGTAAACAGCCCAAGTAGTTGAAAAAAGACATCTGGATCCCTAGTCTTGGGCAGATGCGTGGTCAAAGAAACAAAAACACAAGAACATGTGTCTTGTAAACATGTAAGAAAAGAATGGGGGTGCTTTGGGAGTGTGCCATATCATTGAAGAGGCAAATACAGAGAATAATTTTAATTTTAGACAAAATAAGATTTGTCAATAACTCAGAAATAAATTCAAATTGTAATGTGTTGATTTTTAATAAAATGTTTGTAAATGTGAATTATAATTAGTAAGAAGCGAAAAATGCAATGACAAAAAGGACAAATAAAAAGGTTAGTTTATAGGAATACATAAGAAGCGCATTAAATGAAATAAAAATAAAGTTAAGAACTGAATATCTAATTTATTTATTTAAATTTGCTATGTGGCACAAGTGCTCACTGGACTGAGATAAAGATAAAGAGGGAAAATGAGAAGGCTCTCTCCCAGGGGTCATTCACACTGCACTCTGGTTCCCCCACTCTCCTCATCTGATTTTAGGCATTCATGCACCACATGTAACCAATGTGTTTCCTAAGTTGTAGGGTCTGAGAATGAACTACTCACATGGCCATGTGAGAAACAGGCACCTTAACCACCGGACCATAGGCTGGCTAAAGAACTGAATAACGTATTAACTCTTCATTAGAACATTTAATTTTTAAGTAATGAGACCAGCAGATGGCATAATGATTACGTAGCTGGACTCCCATGAGTCAACCGTGGTTCAAGTCTCAGACCTGATGGCTTATTGCTCACTCTGGGCACATGTGCTTGCATATCCAAAATCCTAAGAGGAGAATGGAGGAGAAAGGATTGCAGTGTAGCCATCCCCTCAGAAGGTGATTTCCTGTTTTCTGTCTCTGTCTCTATGGTGAGTGTACACGCCTTACAGCAAAAATCTCTCTAAATTTTTTTCCTTTCAGTGGTTGTGCCATTAATTGAGGAAAAGGAATAATTGATGAAGAATGATCCATTCAAAAGAAGAAATGGCATATATAAAAATTATTTTAGAGAAATGGTTGTAAGTGAAGGATAAAGAAAGAAGAATTAATGTATATGCTATACATAAGTAAGAAACTAAAGCAAATACAACATGAGATAAGAAAAGACTAATCAAGACTTAATTAATGAACCATATTTCAAGGTATCAGGTATAAAAATTCAACAGAGTACATAAATAAAAAAATATAAAGTACCTACATCGGAACAAAATAAATTGAAAATGAAAAAATTCTATCTAGGTATCATCAGAAAATAATGCATTGTATTGCCTTAGGAATATACGTCTTATTTTTCATTTATTCTCTGGTATATGAAGGAAAGTAAACAACAAAAAACTTGAAAATGCACATTATAAAGCAAGAAAATTAAGTATTTAGGGTATCATAAGACTGTAAGCTGACAGACAAGCGATTATGCATGTAATTAATTAAAGAGAACAATTACTGGGTGCAATACTATAGGAACTATTTTCTAAATCTAAAATAGAAAAACAGATAAATTAGCTGACACCAGCAGAAGGCATAATGGTTATGTCACTGGACTCCCATGTAGGCCACTGTGGTTCAAGTCCCGGACCAATCAGCTTAAAACTCATGCTGAGTAAGGGGACCAGCAGATGGTGTAATGGTTATGTTGCTGGACTCCCATGTATTCCACTGTGGTTTGAGCTCTGGACCCAATGGCTTAAAACTCACGCCAGGCACGTGTGCGTGTGTGCCCAAGCTCCCAAGAGAAGAATGGAAGAGAAGGGACTGTGACATAGCCATCCTCCATGGGAGGTGATTTCTCACTTTCTGTCTCTCTATCTCTCTGGCAAGCACGCCCTATAGCAAAAACCTCTCAACAAACAAATAACAGCAACAACACCAAAAAAAAAAAAAATACTCATGCCAGATGAGTGTGCAAGCATGCCCAAGATCCCAAGAGGAGAATAGAATAGAGGAGAAAGAAGTGTGGCATGGCCATGCCCCCTGGAGAGTGATTTCTCACTTTCTTTCTTTCTGTCTCTGTCTCTATCTCTCCAGCAAGTGCATATACCCTCTACAAAAAAAAAAAAACTCTCTAAAAATATAGTAAAATAACAAGAGTAGCCTTACCTTATCTCTGAGCTCTGAGTAGACACAACTTAATAGCATCAAACATTGAAGTTGTAGGAACTACAATTCAAAAATACTAATGATAAATTGGAGAATCTGCTTTGGAAGACTGAGAGGTTAAGAGCTGATAACACCATGACACTGGAGAGGTAATTTAGACCTGCAGGAGTCTTACTTGCAGGAGAGAAGGATCAGGAAGGATTTGGATCTTTGTGTTCTCCCATCTGTAGATATTTAATACAAATAGGGACAAATACTACAGGGTAAGGTTTGGATCAATATAAGGAAGGTCTTTCTAAAAGTGGAGCTATTATAGCAATAGATGGATATGGGGATGGCATCAACATAGGTATAGTCAATTGCCAGGAAGCTATAATGAAGTGTGCTATTTAGGGAGGGTAATTTGACAGAACAACCTTTAAAACATTTCAGATTTGAAATTTGTAAGTATTAGGATTGACAAAGGTTAGGCAAGAGACCAGCATAATGTTTAGCTCTGATGACTTAAATTTTGAAGAAATATTTAGGAATGGGTAAGACAACAACACATAAATGTATAGAGCACCTCAACTTAAACTTTGCTAATTATTTAACTAGTTAGACTAGTCTTAACTGATCCCTATTTGTTCTCATTATTTAAAAAAGCTCTGATGCATATTTTTGTCATCCCTACAACTAAGTAGTTCTTTGTTCTATGTGGTTTTTGGAAAGTGTGAAGTATCATGCAGTGTCCCTAGAGACAGCCTGCACTTTGTAGTGAGAATTTTGTTTGAGAAACTTCTCTCTATCTCTAATTTCCTGCTGCTCCCCAAGGCACGTCCACATGATTATACTGATGTTATGTCAGTTATTCTCCATAGAATCCAGTGGAGAATTTTCAAAGAGGTTCATATTCTCATTTGAGCTTTCCCAGAAGATAAAATATTAGAATTGGTTAGTTCTGTTCTGCAGTAAGTAGCCCTGTTTTCTATATAAGGATGTGTCAACTAACATTCCTTCCATTTGAAGGCCCAAATTTCTGACCTCATTACTTACCCTTACTTCTAACCCCTTCAACCTCCTCCTGATGATACTGCTGGTAACACAACCCAAGGTCTCTCTTCTCTTATACCAGGTACTCTAAAATCCCTAATTTTATTGAATTATTTATTTATTTTTTTAATTGCCAGAAAGACTATATGCTCTACTCAGAGAAACAGAGAGAGAAAGAGGGAGAGGGGAAAAAGGACTCTTCAATGGGGTTTGGACATG